AGAAGCATTTAAAATAATTAGATTTCTATGTAAACTATGGAACTTCAGCACAGTGAAATGTGATGTCATGCTAAGCTATGCTTTTAAAGCTTCCAAAAGCCAAGAGGAAATGCTTTTCTATTCACAGAATGGAAGTGGAAAATGGTTCCACCTGAATTTCACTGGGTACATATGCACCCACAGCTTACATAATCTGATAACGTCTGCCCATCTCCCCGTTTCCTCTTCGGCATCTCCACACACTGAGCTAATCAAATTGAAGTAGCTTAAGTACAATAATTCCTTTTGCATTGTAAAGAAAGCTTTACAGAGATGCTATTAAAATATGAGGGTCAAAATGACAGGCTCTCACAAGGAAATTGTAGCTAGCACTCCAGCGATGCATCATGCCATTTCCCTTTGGTAATTCGGCAAAGCAAGCAAAAGTGAGAGGAATTTTGCCTAAGAATAAAACATAAATAAAGCATGAAACAACTACACTGTCTGCTATCAACCACGGACCATTAAAAACTATTTCATCCAAAGATACTTAGCCTTTCAATGAGCAAACCAGAAGAAGGGCATTTGCAAAATATCATTTGGATACAAACTATGAGGGAACCATAAGTGAGGTGAAAGAAGGGCATGGGGATGACTCTCGGCTCAGCCCATCAGGGTGCCTACACCATGGAAAGCTCTGTGAGGCTGGGTTGCTTGTTGCATGGAGCTTTCGGGAGGACTTGGCTGACCTGTCACAGCATCATCAGCCTTCAGTGGTGAAACCAATAGTGAGAGGTCTTAGGTCATTAGGGGAAGACTGTGGGACATGGGGCTCTTCCCTCTTATTTTTTTCCTCACCTCCCAGCTCTGAGGTAAGGAGCTTGTTTTAATATGCTGTTCTGCCTCCTGACAGTCCCCAAAGCAAAAGGGGCTAACCAACTATAGAGTGAAGCCTCCAAAACTACTCCAATATTTGGGAGACTGAGGCAGGAGCGTTACAAGTTCAGGACTAACTCAGACTACAAAGTGTGTTCAAGGGTAACCCAGGTGAGTCAGTTTCTTTCTTAAAATAAAAAAGTTTTATAAAACAAGAGAGACAGAGATGCAGACAGAACTTATCGACAGGACACTTGAAGGTCAGGAGCCAGCCTCCAATCAAGAAAGCAAGCAATGAGCTAACCCGGAAGAAATGAAGATCTTATTTACTCTAGCTGTGTGTTCTACATTAGCATAGTCTTGCCAGCGAGTCTCCTCTCCAAGCATTAGACTATTTGTCAAGAAGGTCACTTTAGGAACTATGTTTAAAATGAACATACGTTTTGTCTTTCATGAAAGAATATTACACTGAACTATGAACTTTTATAAATACTTGATAACTCCAAGTATCCTTAACATTCTGTGTGCCATTTGAATTTAATATACATTTTTCTAAGTAACAAAATGTTGCTTTTCTGTACAGAAATATATGGATAGTACAATCTGCCTTGTGGTTTAGAGTAATGTTTGTTGTAAATACTAAAACCACAAGGGGAGTCCAAGAGATGCCCAAAACAATATAGGCTATTTCTATCGCCCTTGGTTGCCTCCCAGAACTTGAAGAAACCCTATTAATGAAGACACCACCCACTTGATAGAGGAAGTGGGGGAACTGAGCTGGAAATGACATAGAAGCCTCCTCCATGGGAACTAGCTCTCACAGCATCTGAAGGTGCTATGCAAGCTAACCATGGAGAAGAGCTCTCAATAGTCCTACCCAAATGGAAAGACTGCAGACAACAGCAATGAACAGCATGGCAAAATATCCCTAATGTTGCAATCAATAGTGGTGCTTATTTCTTGGGCGTAACCAAGAATCATCTAATTGGACTTAAGGCCCACACAATAGAAGAGACTTCTAGTCTGATAATGTAGCTTTAGCCAATTACGCATGACTTGTAAGGTCATGGACCCTAGCGGAAAACCTATTATTGCCACCTTTCTAAACCATATAATTGCTAACTGAATTCTCATTTCTTGCCCATAGATAAGTGTAGCTCTGACTCCCTCATCAATGACGCTTCTCTTTACAGCAGATAGAGATAATTACAGAAATCCACAACTTGAAGAATGAAATCCACAACTGGAACAACAGACTATGGGGGGCCCAATCTCAACTGATTCATCTGCAGCAAAACTCCTATACCTAAGGCTCAGGGAACATCACAGAAGAGGGAGAAAAAAGATTTTAAGAGCCAGAGGACCAGGATGTCTGCTATAAGATCTTGTTTTCTAGGTAGGGAAGCTATACCCATGAAATCTCAACAATACGGTTGCCTGAATAAGACTGATGCAATGATCAAGAGGAGTTAGACTGGTGAATAAAGGATGCGAAAGCAATATAAATAGTGTACCCATGTATTAAAGTCTCAAAAATTAAAAATTTTAATTAATAAAAACTCAGCATGATGCCAGGGAGTGACGGTGCATGCCTAGTCCCAGCACTCAAGAGGCAGAGGCAGGCAGATCTCTGAGTTTGAGGCCAGCCTGGTGTACAGAGTAGACAAGTCTACACAAAGAAACCCTAATTCAGAAAAAAAAAAAAAAAAAAAAAAACCTCAACATGTTATAGGTATAATCTTTAAAATACTGTCTTGGGTAAAGGCATAGATTTCTTCAGAGTCAAAAATCACTTAGCACATCCCGAGCACAAGTGATTGACAGCTCAGTAAATACGGATTAAGCACATTAGAGTCTTTTGAAAATACAGAATCCAGAGATACCTACCTTTAAGTAAATAGAAAGTCTGAGTAAAGAAATTGTGTCTGATAGTCTCAGCCCCAATGCTCAACTTACTTTTAATGTTCAACATCTTTTAAATATAACACTCCCTAGTTAGACTGATCCGGACAGTTAATGTATCTTGTATGGTTACTACACAGCTAAAAACTGTAAATTAGAAAACATGTTATGGGGGTGGGGACCTGTTAGTAAAAACTATTTCGAAACAACTCAAAGGTAGGACCTCTTTGAGAGGCAAATAGTCTCATGCTCTCTAACACCAATGGATGGAAACACGATAACATTGGCCTTGAAACTGAGACCTAGTTAAAGAAAAAACAAACAAACAATCTGGAAACTTCACAATTTGTTACAGTTTCATTAACAGAAACTGACTAGCCTTATATCTGACCTGCCTAAAGAAAACAATTAGAGTAGCCAAAGTACTGCTAGGGATTAAGGTCAAAGCCACTGTCTTGGGAATTTCTCATGCTTGTTCATTTCCCACACATGAACTAACCAGCAGTTAGATCCAGTTACATGGAGAAAGTGAAAATGTCACCTTAATGTTTAATTTTAATCTTGCCATTATGGGATAAAACAAAACAAAATTAGCCATTCTGTGACTGTGGCTCCTGGTGAAGAGCAAGACAATAACCCATCACCTGTGATGATGTGTAAGCAAAGTTCTAGCACTGAGCTAACCAAGCCATTGTGACTAATTTCCAATTTAAGAAATAAACCAAGTGACAGTAATTCAGAAAATGAGACATTCTCTAGTGTGTCCATTCAAGAAGTCTGAGCTATGAAAACAAAGGGACTGTCATAGGTTCTAAAACTTCAGGGACATAATATCCAGCTACACTTCCTTATCTTGGACTGAAGTCTCCTGTGGACAAACTTGAATCAAGGATGCTATGTGAGTGTGAGTGACAACAAACACTGAATATACGAGGACTTAGGCTAATTATGATAATGACAATTTGGTTATATTGGACAATGTTCTTATTTTTAAGAGATGAAAACTAAAGCTTTCAGAGATAGATTGTTAAACATTTTAAAATACTTCGATGTAAATATGGAGTTTTGAGGGGGGGGACTGTTATAAAACAATCTAGAGTAACTGACCCAAGATTACAAATCCTACCTCAGTATCAAAGAATGACATATGCCCTGAGAGACTCTCACCACAGGGGTGTTCAAAGAATCTCTTGTGTCTGTATGGAGGCATCACCTGTCAATAAGACGCTAACCTTTGGCTGAGGCAGGAAATAGAAGGGGTGACAACCAGCAGGCAGAAAGGATTCTGGGAGGGAGCCAGGCACAGGAGATTCAACTGGAAAGATGTGAAGGGAACAGACGAATAGTACCTGAACCCAGGTAAACAGCCACATGGCAGAATGTAAATTAGTTTAAATGCATTATATTAAGCTATGAGCTAGTCAGAGAAGAGCCTCACTATATGGCCTAGGTATTTGGGTATTTGTATATTATTTAATGAGCCTCATGTGTCGATACTCTGGGAGCTTGGGGTTGTTTCTTTTTTTTTTCTCTTTAAAAAAAAAAAAAAAAAAACACCTGCAACCTAGGAGGTCTTGCAAGTGCTAAGTAGGATAACTGAATTTAATGTAAAATATTAACCTTCAAAAGATCTCATATAATCCTAGGCAAATTTTTACCCTTGTTAACCAGTTTTGTTTTGTTTTGTTTTGTTTTGTTTTGTTTTTTAAATCATAGTATTCCAGAATCATCACAAACCTGAAAGGACACTGGATGTCAGCTTTCATCCTGATGCCCTCATTACACACTTCATTCCATTCCCTACATGGGAATCACTTCCTTTGTGCATGAGTAAACACAGTTTGTTCTGAGACCATAACTAACAAAAAAAAGGAAGAAATCTTCTAAGGTTTAGATAATCTTCAGAAAGTTAAATTTAAAGCTAACAATCAGTGTGTCATCCAATGACAGGGGAAAAAAATCACTGCAGTAGACAATGGCAGTAAACAATGAAGCCATGACCTAAGAGGCTACTAATGAAAGCAGTAAAATCCTTAGTTCAGACACAGGCAAGTAAGGCCTGTAGAATACATGTATGTACTCTTCAGGGAGCTTACAGACTGGCACAAAAAAAAAATTAATGGCCTTTTCTATTAGTTTAAAGAAATGTGCAATTTAAACATATGACACCCTCTTCGGTATATGGAAGAAACAGTAACAAATTTTAAGAAAATTAAATAAAACAAAAGCAGTGCAAAACAAACCTGAGACCCAGCTGCCTGCAGATGACTTCTGCATCTGCATCGTCCCACTGGTCATCACAGATGGTCCCCCACTGGCCAGCGTGGTAGAGTTCCACTCGACCTTCGTGCCCACTGTTCCCACCAGCAAGGCGAATGGCAGGCAACACTGGACCTGTGTGGCAAAAAAATTAAAGACAACTTCAAGGCATGATTTTGCATTTTGCCATCACAGTACATATATTTTATTTTCTTCCATTCTCAGAAATAATATTGACTAGGCCACACCAATGATATGAACATACAAATTTATACCTAATAGATATTATGGAAATCTTTACCAATTAAAATACTCCAAATTGAATTATATTTATGGAGAGCTCCTTGGAGAATATAGTCCTAATTCTTTTTTTCTTAAACTCCAGAAACAAGAAAGGACGCATGAATAACTTCCAATCACTTGAGACTCCATCAGTTTTCATCAGATTATGATGGAGTCATTAATTTTTTTTTATTTTCAGCAAAATAAACATTCTCTATGTATAGTTATTAACTATAATTTTCATGTATATAACATACTTTAATCAAGGTAAAATTATTTTTACATTTGGAGAGATCAATGCAATTTTCCATCTACTTCCCTGTAATGACATTATAGATTAAACCTCCAATTCACTTGGGTGCAGCTCAGTTCATTTTCCCCTCCTGTGTTAAAGACCCCCACAGGTGGTCACATTCCCATTGTATTGGTGCCTTGTAAATCTCTAAAACCTTCTGTCACCATTCCTGGCCCATTTACTTGACTCTGACCACATGTCCCCTGCCTCTGCCCCTTAAAAAGAGAATCCCTTGTTAGTTCCAACCTCAGAATCCTTAGTCTCGCTGTGCTTTATGCTTACAAGCACCCCCTGTTTCTCTCTATCAGGTTGTCGACTATCAGCATCTTTTCCCCGAAGGAGGCCTTATCTGACTACTTAAGCTAAATCAACATCCAAGCCATTTCTGGGTGCAAGCTATAATCTTAGCGCTTAGGAGATAGAAATAGAAGGACTGACACAAGCTGAAACCAGCCTGCACTAGATAGCAAGTTCTAGACCAACCAATGTTACAACAGAGAGAGACTCGGCCTCAAAGTAACAACAATAAAAATGAGTAAATAAAACATAAAATGGAAAACAAAACAAAACAAAACAAAACATAAAATGGAGCTCTGAGGCATGTCCTGCTCCACTGGCTAATTTTGCTTCTCTTGGAATTTTGTGTTTCTTTAGCATCATCATCTATTGTTTGCATGTCAGGTGCCACTCCCCTCTGTTTACTCCTAAACCTGATAAACAGAAGGCATGCAATAGGTACTATTTGGCTGACTGGGTCAGCAAATGATATCCAACCTAGAAGAGATATTTCAAACAAGGGAGAGTATTTCACCAGGGTCGAGTTTTCAGTTGTGTTTACAAATAGATATAAGATATCTACAGGATGCACAGGGTGCCGTGGGAGGAAGTTTTTGAGAGCAAAAGAGCTAGAAGCCATAAAGTGCAGAAAGCTGAAGGTTTGGCCCAGGTTGAGGAAAGTGAAAGAAAAGACAGCTCCACCCTTGGTACCTGGAAACAAATTCCATCAGCTGAGGGTAACTCAAGAGTTTAACTGCACTGAGCCTAAGGTCAATGGTTAGATGATGCATCTCTGACCCTCTGTCCACTGTGAGGCTCACTAATGTAGAGTCTGAAGGCTCTGAAGCCTCAGCATACTACTTAACATCCACAGAAACATCTCTCTGACTGAGCAATTAATTCTTAGTAGGGTTTGAACATACAAAATCAGATCTTCCTCTAGATACCTATATTATGACAGCATAGAAAGGAAAGAATTTTATGACAGGTATAGGTGAACAGAGAAGAGCTCAGTTAAATGTACATGGAACTATCACAAGCAAATAAATCTATTTCTTTGTATACTAAGCAATAACTAATAAGTAAAAATAGAAATGGTAAAACTGAGTAAGGCAAAAGGTGTAATTTATAGGAATAACAAAAGAAAAGGGAAAACAGACAACATCAAGATTTAATGGGCATCTCACCCTCCGGAGAAAGGATCACAGATATCAGACCACACCTACACCATTCCCTGCCATGGCTCTTCCTCACAATTCATAGCAATTGCTCTAAATTGGCTCTTAAGGTATCTTGTAATGGAAGCTTTGCTTGTTTGTGTTTTGTTTTGGTTTTTGTTTTGTTTTTTTAATCACCTTCTCCACTTTTCCCAGGACCTATACTCAAACACTCCTATGGACTGGGAACTAGCATTTCAGGTCCTAGGATACATGGTCATGATGTTATCACCAAATAAAATGTAAAAATCAGTATATTGTGTATTAATTAGCTTCGGATTGTGGTTACATACTTAAATATATTGTAGTCTTCTCCAAAGCCCATACTCTATCTTACGTGTTTTCTCCTCAACTTATGTTCACATTCACAGATGTAGATTTTCATACCTGAGACAGACTAAGTCAGAATGAGCCTTTACTCAAGCTAACAACTAACTTGAGGGAATATGTATCTACAACCCAAAGAAAATTGCTAATATTATGATTATAACCCATTCTGATGGTTTAAATGTGAAATATTTGTCATAGGCTTAGGTGTTTTGAACACTTGATCCACAGTAACTACAGGTGTTTAGAAAGCCTCACTGCAAAGGAAGTGGGTGGCTGGAGCGAGAATTAAGGTCTTGTAGCCCCACCCTGCTTCCTGTTCACTGTCCTTTTTCCTGAGTATGAATGGAGAGTGGCCAGCTAGCCTCTTTCTCCCGTGGTTATGCCTTCCCTACCTGCTGCCATGTCTTTCATGCCGTGATACGCCGTGCCCGTTTGAAACTCTGAGCCAAAATAACCCTTTCTCCCTTAAGTCACACTTGTCAGGGTATTTATCACAATGATGAGAAAGTAATTTAGGACAATTATACATTAGGAATGCATTCTGTCCCAGTTGCAATATTTTATATTTGGTATCAAGAAGATCTTGCACCTTCCATGATTTGCTGTTGCCAAAATAAGTGTTTCATATGCATAGTATTTCTGTAACCAAGTTTTATTTTTTAAAAAATGATAAAATTAGATACTATTTAAAAGCTAACCAAAATTCAGAGTTAGATGTATTCATATTCAACAGTATTTAATTAAATTGTTGAATATCATTTGGACTTATTTCTGTATTTAAACACTTATGGAAATGATTTAACTAAGGCACATTTATCATCTAGAACCATATTTAAACCAGAGTGAAACTAGAAGAAGGAGTTTTCATGATTGGGAAAAGCTACACATGATAACAGCTGCCACCTTCTAGGGTCACATCCCACTCGCCAGATGTCTGTTTCACAAAACACTGTTTTTAAATCTCCTTGACAACAAACTTCACTCCAGTAAATGGGAATATGGCCCAGGCCAGATAATGAAGTTTGTTTTGTTATTCTGTCTCCTCTGAAAATCCAAAGGCAGATGTTAGTTTTATCAAATGTAAGAAAAAAAAGTATTCAAAGGGTTTTTATAAATGGAAGAAACTAATACAGTTGGAGCTAAAAGGGAAAAAAAGAAAGCTCTAGAACACACATACAGGCACCACATACTTGAATATGTATAGGTCAAGGAAATCAAAGTATCAAATCAGAAACCTTTACAACTTTATATTTTTAGTTTTATTGTGTGTGCAGAACGTTTTGCTTGCATGTATGTATATGTGCACTGTGTGTATGCTTAGATCTGGAGCTCAAGAAGAAATCAGATTCCCTGGAATAACGGCTGTGAATGGTTGTTCACTAAGTGAGTGCTGGGAACCGAAACCCAGTCCTTCACAATACCAACAAGTCGGCTTGTTGCTATTGTTGAGTCATCTCTCCTGCCCTCAGAAACCTCTTACCATTGCTCTTAAATATTTGCTTGTAAGACACCACCGAAAAGAAAATGGGCAATTTGCAGATGTAAAATAGAAGTTCAGATATTTTTGTACTAGAAATCTGTTAACTGGCCAGGTGAGGCTTAGGTTGGGCTCTGGCTTTAGCTGAATGTCCCTCTGAGCTGCAAGTGTCTCCACACTCTGCCAACCAATGTGGAAAAGGAGAAGAAAAAGAGAAGATTTCTTCCAGCTCCAGTATTCTGTTAGAATTTTTAAACGAGTGCCTTTAAGACCTTGAAACTAATTTATAAAATAATAGCATGAAGATGGTATCTCCTTTTAGCTCATTAATATGCATCAATATTTTGTGCATAATATGCATAAAATAGATGGTTTATAATTTAAATATCCAACACTTAACTGGTTAACATGGCAATATGAATAATTGCCTGCATGCTACTGTACAGCATTCATTAATCAAGCGTTATATATATGAATTGTCTTCCCAGCCAGAAAGCTACATTGTCCTGCTTTTATTTAGATGACCTTGTGCTTTAAAGGGGGCAGCATCACAAAAGGATGATCTAGACAGTCATATTGGCTTCTCTGCTTGTTTGTGTTTGCTGGGTGATAGTTTATATCCTTTCTTTGATCCAAAGAAAGTATGGTCGATGGTAGATTAGCCATACTTCAGTGGCTGGTATCACATCCACGTGCACTTGGGCAGTGCTAACAGACTTTAGTGTGGTGTACACGCACACACAGAGGAAATGAAGTTTAGAGGAGGGCATACTGGGAAGAGAGGAGTCTAGGAGAAGTTGAAGGGAGAGAATGAGGGGTGTGTATGATTAAAGTTCAATGTATGACATTTTCAAGGAGTAATGTGTAGATGTAAAGACTGGGGACTGGACGGATGGCTACTCTTGCAGGAGACCTGATTTTGTGTGCATCACTCATATGGTGGCTCACAAACATCCTCAACTCCAGTCCCAGGAGATATGGAAACATTTAAGAAAAAAAATATATCATGGTTCACAATGAAACCACAAACAAACAAACAAACAAAACAATAATAAGGGAGGCAAAGTCTATAGTGTTGAATCCTGACCATTCAGACCATATATATGACAGGGCATTTTGAATTCTTCAGAAGGTCTCAGCTTTTAAATTTACACAGAGCAAGAGAAGTCCCTATCAAACCAACTAAAACATTTGACGCACAGAACATTTTAAAAGAAACACATCTGGAGTCAGTGAGACTTACCTGCTGCTAAACTGCCAAACTAATACACACTGTCCTCTGACTTTCACACACATCATCTGAGATACAAGCATAGACACTAAGTGTGTGCGCTAAATAAGTAATTAATTAAAGAAATGTGTCTGAGGGGTTCGAATAGTTCAAAATTGTTTTAAATCACAAATGTTCTACAGGTAGATATCATATTAATACCACAAACACCAGCAGTTTATGTCTTTTATTTAAAGTTTCCAGCCATTTGTTTCAATCAAATAATTCATTTATGTTGTTTGAAAATGCATTTAAATTGACATATTGTCTGTATTAACTACCACTACCACCAAATTCCTCAACAGAGCTAGAAGAATGTTCTAGGGACAAAAACAAACTACTGTTATATTTAAATATGTAAACAAAAAACAGGGAGACTTAATGCCTCCCCAGGAGAAATAGTCTTCCCCAGGGAAAAGCACAGCAATGGTTATCCAGTACCAAATGATCAGCTCTAAAAATCTACATATCAGCAATATACAGAGTGAGACTGTTGTTTTTATTTATTTGGGAATATGTATGTATATACATATATGAATGTAATGTATATACATATATGAACATAACAACAATTAATGAAGAAAGAGGCCACTAATTTGGAAGAGATAGAGAGGTATATGACAGGGTTGGAAAGGAGGAAAGGGAAGGAAGAAATGATCTAATTATATTATACTCTGGAAAAATAAAAAATAATTAAAAAAATTAGTGTGTAACAATACTATCTACAAGAAATGGTGTTTCATCGCCTAAATAACAGGGGTGTTTAGAGATGAGAAGCAGAAACCCCCAGTAACATCCAAAGGCAGTGGAAACGGTTTCCAAGCCAAGGTTCTGGTGTACCATACCTTCTCAGGTATGTGAACACACCATGAGTGCCAGGAGTCACTTAGCTCTATCTGTGATGTGACAATAAATGAGGTTTGCTCATCCAGTTTTCGCTTAAGGAAAATTCACACACAGTCAGAATTCTGAGGAGCCACTTTGTGTGTCATCCACAAATGAGCTCTCTGTCAGAGAGGTAGAGAACTTTGCTCTTCTTGTGCCTATTATCCAAGGATGCTTAAGTGGTGGCAATCTTAAACAATTTATAACTAATTTTAATTTGTGGATGGGAGAAGCTGTATCTAAGACCACTGAGAAGTTGCTGTGGCATGATCAATCACACCCTGAACTACTGTCCGGCACTGTCCCCTTGCCTCCAAACCTAAGCAAACATCACAATAAATTTACTAGGGGTTACAAGGCAGTAAACTAGCCAGGCAGATGCAAGACAGCCTCAGAGTTTCTGACCACAGAGAAGGGAAAACAGAACCTTTGTCAGGATTCTACAGCGGAGCGGACTTTGTCCTAAGGACCACACAAATTTGCAGTAGGGCTATAAATATGACGTGTGTATATGTACACACACATTTGTATAAATTTATAGCTACACTGTTATAAGCGGGAAAGGGAAAAAAGCTTAGCTCAGTCTAAGAAAAGGATAAAAAGCAGACCAAGCATAAAGTTCAAAGTGTTCCTACTATACATGCCAACAGCATCATTTCCCACATAAACTTTGAACTAAATTCTTTGCTTGGGAAGTACATTTCAATCACTGCAACACTGTGTGATCAAAAATGATCTGCCCCCTTCCCTCACACAGGCCTCCACCGTGCTACTTCTGAAACGTTTCTTGCAGTGGTAGCAAATTTCTCTGGGTCATATTCCAATAAATGGAAGCCTCCACTGCCCTCAAATATCACAAGGGCAAATTTGCAGAAAATGTTATCTTCTAAATATCTGTATTTTGAAATTTCACTACTCTGATCCCTTAAATTTTTCTATCTCAGGTAGAGGACTGAGGGCAACTGTGTCAGCCATTATAAATGTCTATGCCAACCCAGTCATGGATGTGTAAAACTGAGAAGGTTGTCCATGACAGCTTGTCAGGAAGAGCATCAAAGACCATCAGATGAATTGTTACCACCCTCCCCCCGCGTGCCACACACACACACACACACATACACACACAGACTCAATACCCAATAATGCTTAGCATTCTACTTTCTTAATTCTTGGCAAAAAAAAAAAATTAACTTACTATCATTTTCGATTATATATATATATACATATATATATATATATATATATATATATATATATATATATATATATATTTTCTTTTGAGTAGATGTATGTTTAGCTTTACAGAGAAAAAAGAACACAAAAGATCCCTGGGCTTGTGTTACAGAAATCAGCCTCGTGAACAGCTTTGTTAAGAGTTCCACACGCTCTTCCTCATATGCAGAATCTAGCCAGCAACATATGAACATGTGCAAACAAAAGCACATAGGCAGGCATAGTATAGCATGTAGAAAGGAGAGCAGAAATATCTACATTTAAGGGAATGAGCAAGGACTGAGCGCGGGTAATGAGCATGAGCTATGCTGCAAAATATAAAGCTAATCTTTTTTCTGTTTCTTACTCTATCATGGATTGCTTTGGTGGTGGATAAGTGCATAAAAACATATTAGAGTGAAAGTGTAAAATCTGGTGGGAAGTGCCACTGTTTCAGATTGGCAATTCCAACTGTATAAAGTTCACTGAGTTGTAATTTTGTTTGCAAGGGCTTTTTTAAAAAAATAATAAAGTTTATAAACTTTAAAATAAAAACATTAAACCTGAAGAAATAAATGTTTCCCAACAGATGTCATGGAAGAAGAGGTATCGCTAACCATTTTATCACTCTCCATCAATTCAAGAGAAGTAGAGAATGGCTATTAGCATTAAAATCCAGCTGATGAGCTGATGAGCTGTTAAAGTGCTAATTCAGTACCTGTGAATGTGGTCTTATTTGCATGTGGTCTTTAAAGGTAGTCAAGTTAGAACAAGGTAGTTAGAGTGGGTGCCATGACTGTGCTACTTCATGAAGGGGAAATTCAGACACAAGGACACACACAGGGCCTCCATCATGTGAATCCATCATGTGAGTCACTCTTTCATGAGGCAAGAGCTTGGAGAAACTCACAGACAATGTACAACAAGTGCGTCCCATAGGCCATCAAAGGCTGCTTGGCCTAGCCGACACGGTGATCCTAGCCTTTCTGTTTCAAGGCTTTCAACTTGAAGTACTTATGGGTTAGCTGGAAAAAGATGGCAGCCTCTCTGGCGTTACCCTGCTGAGACTCTCTTCCTGGGAGACTGGTTGGAAGCTTATCATTTAGTTTCCTTTCATCAGTCAGTGCTGTATGACCATTTGCCTGTGGGTAAATGGTGTGATGACACAAAATTTGTGAAATGTTCTGCGAGGGTCATATTAATGTTGTCAGTATAACTTAATCATAGCTTGAGCACGGTTAAATTGTGCTCTTTCATAAGATGTCATAGGAAATGTCTTAAACCAAGGAATAGGTCATGGGATTTATAAGTGTCCGGTAAACATAACATCAATGAGTAGAATTGGTTTTTCACTCTGAACTCACATGTTTTCTCCCTTTGAACTAGACCAACTCATATTTTTACTGTTACTAAAGGTAGCAACATGAATAATAAATGGACAATTACCATGAATTATAGATGGGAACTAATGGAGGCAAATAAAGTTCAGTTAGATGTTAGTTCAGGGAAATGTTCTAACATTAAAAGATCGTTTGACTTCGATTTTACCTGGGATGTTATGATGTAAATCTACTGCTCCACAATGTTTAAACAGATGTAAGTTACAGGTGAGAATATTTTTAGATATTAGGACCAGCATAAGCTGGAAAAACTATCAAAGTTAAGTGAGCATCCTTTACTATACCTAAAAAAGTCAACAAACATCATCCCAATTCAGTTGTTTTCAGATAATGTCATTTTTCATCATCTGTAATGGACATGAATACGAATATTTAAAATATTTACTAGTGTTACATTCGGTATAGCACATAGCAGTATATTTAACGTAATGTCATACGCGTATTAACATCTCCAAAGTGTAATGGAGTCTTTCTTATTCTTTTGAGTAGTTGATATGCTGGAATTTTCTTGTCAAGGTTGTGGACAGTAGCTTGGTATTGTTGGCAGGCGTTCATCTTATTTCACTAAAACAATGGACATGACAAAAATTAATTGCTTTACATGCCTGTAAAGTTCAGTAATATACGAAAAAAGGTTGGTGTGGTAACATGAGTTTTTTTGCTCTGAACCAAACTCTGCTCCAAAATTTTATTATGATTACTGTATATTATAAATATTATTTTTCCTAGTAGTTCCAAAAGCTCTACGAGTAGGTCTTTATTTTTGTTGATTCTTCTTTCTCTTAAAATAAGTGCACATCATGCTAACCAATTAACCCAATTGGCTTAGCTTTTCATTTGTTTTATTTGGGAAGGAGAGAGATTTACCAAACCAAGCTGACTGATCTATTTGGTATATGTCCTTTATTTCTTCCAGACTTCCTTGAGTTATGGAGATGATGATATTTACACTTTTGTTAGAGGAGAAAGCATTTCAGGTGTTGTTTTGTTTTGTTTTGTTTTGTTTTGTTTTGTTTTAAGATACTATTTGCAGGCAATAGTATATATTGCATGGGTGTCAGGGAAGTTAAAAGTTAAATAAAATCTCAACTCGAAGAGAGCAGCCAGATTGAGCTACACATTTAAAATCCTGCTAGGAAATGTATCAAATCTGGTATTGATAATAAACATTCTTAAACACCTGCCACATAGAATGAAGATTCAGGATTAAAAGGCATACAGGAGGAGAGGGGGGTTCTACCCCTCCCCCTCCTTTTTGAGATAGCATCTCATTTCGTAGCCCTAGCTAGCCTGGAACTCACCATGTTCCTCAAGCTGTCCTTGAACTCCTAGGTAATGAATGCTCCTGCTTCGGACTCCTGGGTACTCATTACACCTGACTCAGCTAACTCTTTAACTGACACTTTAACAGCATATGGCCTTCCAAAAAGTATGCCTATAAACAGCAGCATTTAGCCCACTCATCCAGCCTATCTATTTTAACTAAGAGATTTGGGGTGGCTAGGTATTTAAGAGCAGATTAGCATGAGAAAGGCTGGATCTGGGACTCACTCCATTAAGGCTTGGGATTTTTTTTTTTTTTTTTTTTTAATATTTCCCAAAGCCAAGTGCTAAAGTTTGGCCACCAGCCTCCAAGTGTGTTGGGAGATACTGGAGCCCTTAGGTTGGGCTTGGTCAGAGGAAGCCAGGTAATTGTGTAGTATACTCTTGAAGGGGAATTGGGACCCCTGTTCTCTCCTAGCTGAGAAGCCACCAGCAGCCTTGCTCCGTCAGCTCCCCACATGATGCTCTGCTCAGAAGAACCCTCAGAACAATAGAGCTAAATGGATCACAGACTGAAACTTCTGAAAACAGAAGCCTGAGTAAACTTCTCCTCCTCTCACATTGATTAACTCAGGCCTTTTGTCGCAGTGGGGTGAAGCTGACTAACAGATTCCTTCTGAACCTTTATCATTTATTCACGTGAGGCTAATTCATTGCTGGTTTAAAAGGGCGGTTCCCAGGACGGAGCAAGCAGAAGGTTGCCCCTTGGACTGTAATAACTTGAGACTGTGAAAATGATTGCTGGCCTGAGTCAGGAAGCACTATCTCATTGCAAAGGCTCGTTGGAAGGATGCGGTCAGCTGCCTGTGGAAATGTGAGAGAGGCCCCTCGCTCCCACTCAGTTAAGATGGATATTCTGGTAAACTGTGCTGTCTACCACCGCAGGCCAGCAAAATAAATACCAATGTGCTGTTCTGTAAAACTACACAGAAAACTAATGTTGGCACACCTCAGGCCTGCTCTGAGGCTAGGGCCTAGCAAGGTCAAGTCACAGGATAGCTGACATCATCCTTCACTATACCTTCTAGCAACGGCCTGATGCTTTCCCATAGGTTTTCTTGGGCTTTGAAATAGTCACCTAAGCAGCACCTGCTCACTTTGACTGGCCCCTACAAGGGCACCTTGCAGTTCCTGACCTGGACATGGGAATTAGGATCCTGAGGTTAGAGCCCAAGCATTTTGACAAGTCTCCAGGTGAATATTTAGATCTTGTTTCACATTTATTTATTTGGAAGTGAGGCTGTGGTGGTTTGATTAAGAATATCTCCCATAGGCTCATATATTTGAATGCTTAATCACCAGGGAGTGGCATTACTTGAAAAGATTAGAAGGATTAAGAGGTATGGCCTTGCTGGCAGAAGTGTGTCACTGGGGATGGACTTTGAGGTTTCAAAAGCCCATGTCAGGCCCAATATCTCTCTCTATATATATATGTATATACATATGTATATATAGAGATAGATAGATAGATAGATAGATAGATAGATAGATAGATAGATAG